ATAGTGACGCTGCACAGGGTTTCCGAGACTGTAAATCTTTACGGGAGCAGAAAGCCTCATCTTTCTCCCGCAGAGCAGCTGGTAGTTTTGAACTGCCGACCTTGAGGTTAGCAGCCTGATTCGTAACCACTACACTACCAGAGCTCCTAATAAAGGTGAATAAGAGACACAATATCAACCCTTTAGATTTTACAGTCTTTGAGGGGAAACAGACAAGCAATTTGGCAAATATTACGATGGTGGGGTGATCTGAGGTTCTCTAAGAACCGGGTTGACGGTATCTCACCCAGTGTTGGTGGTCAAGGAAATCACTGCGTCCTGCCTGAAAAGAGTCTGGATAAAGGGAGCTGAACCACAGAGCCAAGTCTTGGGTGGATTTGCAGGAATCCTAGACTGGAATACTTAGGGTAGCTGTGGACTACAAAGCAGGTCCAACTTATAAAGGGACCAGAAGGTCTCCTGTAGGAGGCTGCCCTCTGTTGTTCTCTCAGTCAGTCAGGAAGGTGGACGCTCCACTTGTCACCCACCTCTGGCCTTATCTGGAGCTCAAGGACAGGATCAAAAGAAGAATGTGGGTCACCTGAGATATCTTTCCAGAGACAGACATTGAACGGTCACTAAGGGAGAAGGAAAAGGTCATTGTTGGGAAACAGGTCAGAGGGCAAGAACAATGAACAGGCTAGACCAAAATGGAAAAATGAATCCGAAAGCAAGAAGTTAAAATGGGTTGGGGCAGGTGTTATAGGACTAAGACCGTGACTAATGCAAAGTCTGTGGGTGGCATCGTGAGCCACGGGCTAGCCAGGCAGCTGAAGGAGCCATGCAAGACTGGACCCCTCGTGATTGTGGCTGTTTTGGTGGTCATTGTTATGATCCAATATTTCTATGACGTAGACCCTATTGTTTTTCTGCATTTGCCTGACTCCCTGTGAGAGGGTTGGCTCCAGACCTGGGATACGGGCTTCTCCCTCCCACATGTCAACCAATCAGATAGTCAAGCCCCACTCTGCCCCAGTAAGGGAAAGACCTGAAAGGATTTGACGTATTGGTCCTGTCTTCAAGCTTAATGGAGAGAACTGTGGAGAAAGACCTAGGTTTGATTCCCATCTCTGCCCCTTAATTAGTAGCTAAAGTGACTATGGGCAAGTTACTTCAACTTCCTGGGCTTCCATTCTCTCATCTTCAAAATGAGAATAATTAAAACTGACTTCATGGGGCGACTGTGAGATTTCAATGAGTTAAGGTGTTTAAAGTGCCAGGTACACATAGTAGGTGCTCAATAAATATTAATTCTCTCCCTGAAACAAGAGCAAATAATAGCAATGATAAACAGCTCAGTGCTGAATTATGGACCCCCATTCTGCTGTTCCCTTAGGATTTGGATTTACTGAGGTCTAAGGAGCTCTGGTAGCGTAGTGGTTACGAATCGGGCTGTGAACCTTAAGGTCAGCAGTTCGAAACTACCAGCCGCTCCGCGGGAGAAAGATGAGGCTTTCTACTCCCGTAAAGATTTACACCCTCGGAAACCCTGTACAGGGTCGCTATGGGTCGGAACCGACTCGACGGCACTTAACAACAACAACAACAACAATGACCCTTGAGCTCTGGTAGCATAGTGGTTACAAATCGGGCTGTGAACCACAAGGTCAGCAGTTCAAAACTACCAGCTGTTCCGCGGGAGAAAGATGAGGTTTTCTGCTCCCATAAAGATTTACAGCCTCGGAAACCCTGTACAGGGTCGCTATGAGTGGGAACCAACTCCACGGCACATAACAACAACAACAACAACAACAACAACAAATGACCCCTGAAGATGACCTGGATGATGACGGAGAATTACTCTGTGTGCATGTGTGTGTGTATGTGAGAGAGAGATAGAGGTAGAGAGAAAGAATCCCTCCTTCACACCTGGAAGAAGCATAAGATTCTTATCTTCTGACTTGTGTCCATGCTGGCAAACATTCTGCCCTGTAACCACAGTGTTTTTATTTCTCCTGACAAGAATCATGCCCAACATTTACCATTTCTTGTCCCCTGGTGCTTTATCAGTTCTCACACACCGTATGGAATATACAAACTGTTAGTATTCCCATTTTACAGATGGAGCAAACAAGGGCCCTGAGAAGTAACAGAAGTTTTTAGAAACCCCGTTGTGTATGATGATTCCTCCACCTTTGTCAGAGTAGAACTTTGTTCCATAGAGTTTTCAACGGCTTATTTATACTGGAGGTAAATCACCAGCCTTTCTTCAGAGGTGCCTCTGGGTAGACTTGAAAATCCAACTTTTTGGTTATAGTAGCCAAGCGTGTTAAAAGTTTGCAGCACCCGGGGACTCCAAAGGAAGTTACTTGCGGCTATATGGCTAGTTAGTAGTGGAGCCACAATACAGAGGAGCAGAGCCTTGAATATCTGCCCTGTACTATATGTGAATAAGAAAAGCCTTCTATTGAGTGGATTTTGTAGTCATTGTTTCTGCCACTGAGTCTACCTTAGCTAACTCATCTCACATCCCAGAACACTGGGTTCAGAAGGATACAGTTCCGAGTTAACTAACAAAAAGGCTGAAGCTGAGTTTGCAGGAATCACAGACATCCCCCCAAGTACTGAGCTCACTCAGGATCATAGGAGAGAGCTGTCTTCCCCAGCCATCCGTACCCCTCTCCACACGTGAATGTAAACTTCCAGGGAAACTCCCGCACACACCACACCTCCTGTGTGCCTGGGACAGTGTCTGAACATTGCAGGGTTCAAGCAATGAGTGCTGAATAAATGGAGGGATGAATGAATGCAAACATACACATACACATCCCTGTGCAGGGAGGCTTCAAAAAGTTGATGGAAAAAAATCCGTTATCTTTTCATTTCATTCTTCCACAAACTTTTTGAAGCCCCCTTGTATATACTTATAAGCCAAACATACAATGCATAAATGCTTAAAACATTCGGTTATAGACAATCATGTAAAATATTGATACTTCTTGTATCCTGCTGTGGCACTGTGGGTCAAGCACTGGACTGCAAGGTTGGTTTGAACTGAAAGGTCGGCAGTTCAAGCTCACCAGCTGCTCCTCAGGAACTCTATACAGGGTTGCTATAAGTCAGAACCGACTCGACGGCACTTAACAACAACAATTATATCTGTGCACACTCATACACAATGCACACTCATGCTCACATCCAAATAAAGATACATAAACACACGTGTACATACACACATGCTAAGGGTAAGCATACGTGATCCAGAAATCACAAACATACACCTACTCACCCCCATCTATACACACAGCGATCTTTAAATACCCTCCACCAAGATTCTGGGCCCAGGAAGGAGTCTGTCTGCCCCAAGAGCCCTAGCATGTTGGAGCTCGCCAGAACGTTCCTTGCAGCCTCCGCGTAGCCAGCTGGTGACTGGCCCCTGGCTCCTGGACCTCCGAGTTGGGGGCTGGCCAGGCAGAGAGGCAGCTTCTCTGGCAGCCAGTGTGGGTGGGCAGGCAGTGGACGCAGAGGTTACTGGGGTCAGATCTGCGTCTGCTCTGGCCTCTCTGCTCCTGGATGGAATGTGAGCTGGAAGGGGGCTGCCTCCCACACCTCCCTCCTCCTTTGCAGCCACCCACCGGCTCTACACCCCAGGCCAACCAGTTATGGGAATCCAGGTTCTTGGAGCTAGGATCCTGGCATGGAGGATGAGGAGGGGGATGAGGACTGTGAGAGGGTGCACAGAGCTGCAAGATCACACACAGAAAAGTCAGAGATACAGGCAGGCACGCAAAGTCACCATGTCTGGAAAACACATTCACACACACTTCCAAATACTCCCAGAGACCCAGCGGACAGTGTACACACACAGCCACAGACAGACCACAAGTCTGGACCCCCACACGCAGAGATACACACCCTGTCAGCCGATCTCTGTCACATTGGAGAATTTCCTCCTGCTTCAGGGACCAGGAGGAAACACTATACTCATCACAGCCCTAAGTGGACTGCTTCCCCTGGAAACTGATCCCAATTCCCACCAAGTGCCCTAGGGTGTTTCCGGTGGCCACCCACAGCTGAGCTACCCTGCTGCCTGAGTGCCTGGTTAGGAAGCCGGTAGCCTGGGGGGTAAGGTGGTTCTGGAGCTAGGTGGCTTGGGTTTCATCTTTGCCAGTTTCTTGAACACACACATTTTTCACGAGTGTCTGTTTATATAACATAAAAAGGCACAGGTATGCTGGAAGACTCAATTTCTTCAACTATAAAGGCGACTAGTAAGCCTTTCACCCCCAGAGATTGTATGGATGGCATAAAGTGTCACCCTGAAGAAGGACCAAACTAAGTTGCTGTCTTCCTAGAGGTGGGGCCGCAGTTCCTGGCAGATGGCACTGAAGTCAGGACCCTTCAGAGGCGGGCTCTGGGCTCCACACATGGGCGCCCGGAGGAGCCCGAACCGGTCTGTGGCCCTCTCGGTTGGCTGGCAGTGATGTTCTATCGGTCAGCCAGTGACCCCGAAGAAGGCTGCGGGCTGGGCTCCGCGGGAGTTCTACGCGCTCCGGGGTCAGGGCCGCCGGGTCCCGACGCCCCGCCTCGACCGCCGGGAGCCGCCCCCGTGGGCGGGACAGGCCTGGAGCCCCGCCCCCATTCCCAGCCCCGAAACCCAGTCGCCGACCAGCTTCAGTCCCAGAAGGTTGCTGCTGTCTGAGGAGGCCACTGTATCTTTAGACTCCTGCTCAGCCACGGGAGGACCTGGGCTCGCGCTGGGTGCCTGACGGAGCCTCCGAGGAATACTCCTGCCCCACACCACCCCGTCCCACCGGCCTCTCCCCACAGGTGCCCCAGCACAGCCTCACCTGCGGGCTCCTGACTCCTAGAGCGTCCAAAGGATGCTCGAACCCCCAGTAGGGGCCTTGGGGCAGCAGTGAGTGGTGCCCCACTGGGCTCTTCTCTTCCTGTACCAAGGGCTCCCTGCGGGATGAGCATGGTGGTTTTTCTTCGGAGCCCCCTGGCCTGGGAAATCTGAGAAGATGCCTGCCATGAGACTGTTCACTTGCTTCCTGCAGCTTCTGGCTGGGCTGGCACTGCCTGCTGTGCCCCCCCAGGTAAGCACGCCCCATCCCAAGCCTGGCTGTCCTGAGTTGCCTGTTCCCAGCAAGCACCCAAAGTAGGGACTTGTGGGATCACAGATCGTCTCCATGGAGCGGCACCTCCAAGGATGCCCCATCCATTCCCAGAAGCCAGTTTGGACCCTCGTCCCTGAAGAGGACATCTCAAGATGGGTGACCCCTTATCCCAGCCCCCCACCCCACCCCACCCCGTAGCTGTCGTGGTGGGGGAGGGGAAGCCACAGAGAAGGGAGAGAGGTCTCTTGTCTGGTTCCTGGAGCCATAGCAGCTTTGCTAAAAGCATCTCTTCACTAATCTCAGACAGGTCCCTGGCCTTTTGGTCAGGGTCGATGCGATGTGACCAGACAGGCACCCCCCAGGACCTCTGACCCAGCCTGGTTGAGGGGAAGCCAGGCCCTGCCCCCACCAGGGCGAAGGGCTGGGCTCTGGTCTCCTGGGTGGGCTGGGGACAAGACAAGACAAGGGGTCTCACTGTGTCCTGTCTCCCGGGTGGGTGGCCGGAGGTCCTGAGTGTGGGGCCTGGGAAGTCAGCAGGGCCCTTTTCCCAGGAACTGGGTGAGTCTGGCTGGGAGCCAGCATGGGCAGTGAAATCCTGACAAAGCCAATGAGTTCCCTTCCCACTGTGCTGCCCCACTGCCCTGGGAGTCCCCAGCCTCAGCCCCAGGGGCCCAGAAGCCCGCCACCGCCTGCCTGGTGAGGGGCTGGCCAGAGGTGTAACGTTACCGGCACCACCAGCTCCTGGCGCCACCGCTCCAGCCCCTCAGCTCCCACCAGCTGATCGCTTCCCCCTGGGCTCTGGCAACAGGCCAAGGCAGGCTGTATAGGGCCCAGCAGGGCTGGGCTGGGGTCTGAATGGAAGGGAGACCCCCCCAAAGGATTGCAAAACCTTTAGAACACAGAAGGCAAAGGACCTCTAAAAAGCCACTGTAACCTACCTTATTCCAAATGAGGAAACTGAGGGCACAGATAGGCAAGACTCACCAAGTGATTTTAGTTGCTCCTGGAAAGAGGCAGATATGAGACTGGGCAAAGCCTGTGTGGAGCCAGTGAGAGGAGGCTTAGAGGGGCCACTACTGTCTTGCCAGCGTGCAGACTTTTTTTTGTTGTTGTTATGTGCTGTGGAGTCGGTTCGGACTCATAGTGACCCTGTACAGGGTTTCTGAGGCTGTAAATCTTTACAGGAGCAGAATGCCTCATCTTTCTCCCGTGGAACAGCTGGTAGTTTTGAACTGCTGACCCTGAGGTTCGCAGCCCGACTCGTAACCACTTTGCTACTAGAGCCCCAAGATAGTCCCTTTAATCTCTGCATCTTTCTGTTCACAGCAGTGGGCCCTGTCTGCTGGGAATGGCTCATCAGAGATGGAAGGTAAGCTGACTGGGCTAGGGGTGCACCTACTCACTGAGCCCCTCTCCTCGTTCCTCCCAAGTCAAGGCAGATGCTGAGCATGATGGGTGAGTGCAGGCTAAGCTGAGGAGAGTCTACCAGCTAGACATCCTGGCTAATGAAATTGATAAGACCTGAGAGATTCCCCCCACTGTGACCCAGAGAGCTAGAGTAGGTGCGTTCAGGTCAGCATCACCCAGAACACAGGGAACAAAGCTGGGACTAGAATACCCAGGGCTGAACTGGCTGGGTATTCTAGTCCCAGCATGTTGTGAGGGGACAGATCAGGTCTTAGAGGGTCAGTCAGGAAGTGTATGTCAGGGGCCAGAGTGGGGGTCTGGTAACTGGAGTCAGTGGGCAAGCAGTCAAGAGTGTCAGGGAGGGGTAAGGGACCTTCCCAGCAACCCAGCCCTGACGGAGCTGCAGGCATCTGACCAGACTTTCATTGATTACAAACAGAACAGGAGTCTGGCCCTACTCTGCCGCTTCATTCCCCACTCAGGGTTGCATCAAGAGGGAATCTTCAAAGGGCAATGAGACGTTTGCCTAAGAGACATACGTACAGAAGGGAGGAGGCCCATGCCAGGGCCCCTGCCTTCCTCCACCCTCCTTGACTCTCTGAGACGTGCCAAGTGGCCACACACCACTGCCGAGGTTTTCCACGGTGCTGTGGGAGAGGGGGCGTGTAGGGGCGTGCACACGCACACGCGTGATAGCCATTTGGGAACTGGGAACACCCTCTTCAGGCTTATCGCCTGCCCGCCCACCCGTCTGTCTGCCTGGCAGCAGCCTTTCCCAGATCTGTCTGTGCTCCTTCAGCGGAGTCTCAGTCCAGTGGCCACCTGAGGAGGTGGGCGATGTAGCTGCTCTTGACTTCACAGGCCCACCCCCACCTCTGTATGCCCGTTGGAACTGGCACAATAGTATGCTCTCTGGGATCTCTGGGATTTGGAGAGACACCCCCACACACACACTCCCACCCCTTGTGTAGTTTGGGCAGTGGTTATCAGAGAAGTCTCAGCCTCAGTTTTCTCATCTGTCATATGGGGGCAATAGAATCAATGACACCTGAGATGATAAGGTATTGTAACGCCTTGGAGGACCCCAGGGATCAGGGTGAGGGCCTGTCATTCTGATCAATGGGGAGCTAGTATTACCGCCCAGGGAATTCCAATGAGCTTTAGCTCCCAGTGATCAAAACTGAAAGTGTTACCCTCTCAAAGTAGCAAAGCAAACCCGCTGCCATCGAGTTGATTTGGCTCATGTTGTTGTTGTTAAGTGCCGTCCAGTCGGTTCCGACCCATAGCGACCCTTTATAGGGTTTTCAAGGAGCAACTGGTGAGCTTGAACCACTGACCTTACCGTTCAAATGGCTTTGCAGTCTGACACATTAACTCACAGCTCCACACCAGGACAACGGGGTCCATATTGAGGAGGAAGGCTTTCTAGTCTCAGACATGGATGACCATACTGTAATTCTATCCTGGAGTCCTGGTATGGCAGTGTAGGATAACCACAAGGTCAGAGGTTCAAGCCTACCAGCCACTCCTTGGAAACCCTATGCAGGGTCGCTATGAGTCAGAATCGACTCAACCCCACTTAGCAATAACAATTCTGCCCTGACCACAAGGCTGTGAACTAGGAGGGCATTGGTATCTGTCTCCACATTTTACGGACGAGGAGCCTGAGGCCCTGAGAGACCTTCTCTTTCCCGTGTATGTAGCAGAAGAGAGCAGGCTCCTAAGGGCTCAGTGGCTGAGCAGGCAATGAGCAGGGTGTCCCTCTAGGCAGGCAGGCTGGCTGTGAGCCGGCGGCGCTGCTGCCCGTAACCATGGGGAGGACACCTGCCAGGCTCGGGACAGTGGCCAGCAGCTCTGCCCAGCCCTGTGGCCCCGCCCCATTGACTTCCTCAGGAGCTTGCTTTTAGGATTAAACTTCTTGGGGCTCCTCTTTTCTGGGCTATAGGCAGCTGGAGCCAGATGGGAGGCTTACCCATAGGGCTGGAGAGAGAGCTAAGAGCCCACTCGTGGCCCCAGAGTACCGCCCAGGCCTGGCCAGGCGCCCGACTGGGCTGTAGCTCTTACTCCCTCACCCTGCCCCCGCCTCTGGAGCAGGTCTGGGGCCAGAGGAAGTGCTCTCAGGAGCGGCTGAGCAGAGCTCTTCCTGAGGGGCTCAGCCCACATCTGGGAGCGGTCACTGCTAGCTCCCTCAGCCAGGCCCCTGGCCCATCCCCCTCTTTCTCTCACACACCCGACAGGGCCTCGGGGATGGCTCATCCTTTCTCCTAGTGGCTGCCAGGTGACCCAGCCCCAGGCCCATCTCCCTCTCAGTCCTTCCCCAACCTGACCCACCCAGGAAGTGGTGGGTCTCAGGAGCCTGGGTCCTACAGACAGAGACTGCATGGCCAGGAGTGAAGCTGAGAAAAGGAAGTCCCTTCTACTGCCACCTCTGCTTAATGTCACCAAGGCCCTCACAGCCCAGCTGGGTGGGTGTCTGTTTGCGCCATGGTAGGGGGCTGGAGTGCTGCTGTCCCTCTCCTTGCAGACTGGTCCCAGGCAGGGCTCCAGCCTCCTGTGGTGCTTTCCTCTGGTGTTATTTAAATTCTCCAAGAAGGAGATTAAACGTCCAGAGTCACATTAATTTAATACTTATGAAAATTTTAGACTAAACACAGAGCTCGCAGAGTTGATGACAGGGGGTGCTGTTGCAAAGGCAGGCTTCCCCTGGTTTCAGGCCTGCCTTTGGGGAAAGAGGGCTTGTTTCCCACTTGGGTCCAGTAGGAGTGTCCCGGCAGCCTGGAGAGGTGGAGTCAGGGGAGGGCCCTGGGGCCCCTTTCCAGCACAAGCCCAGCCCTAGTGCCCCCTAAGCAGAGCAGGGCCGAACTGAGCAACAGACACACAGATAAGCACAGTTTATTACCTCTGGCCACCTCGGCCAGCTCCACGTGGACACACCGCCTCTTGGGTATTTTCCACCAGCTCCCAACCTTTCCTGAGGGCCTCTGCTAGGGCCGAGGCTTATTTTTCCTCTGAGATTACCCGGGACTCACACCCTCTTAGGCTTAGTGGAATGGACTTTGACCCCTTCTGCCTCCTAGGAAAAGCCATGGAACAAGTGGGGAGCTTCTAGGAGAGGCCATTGCTCTGAGGTAGAGAGGCTCAGGGTCCCTAGGTGACCCAGCCCCCCTACGCTTCCCCACCAGCAGAGAGTGACTGTCTGGAATGAGCGGACAGAATGACCCAGGCAGGACAGGTTTCTGTGCAATAGTCTCAAGGCTGGGCTGGGTTGCAGTCCATGAGCCAGAGCTGGAGAGACCTTAGCAACCATCTGTTCCCAACCTTCTCTTTTCCCAGCTGAGGAAACTGATATGCCCAGAAAGGTTTAGGGACCTCCCTAAGACCACACAGGCAGCATAGGACCTGGGCCAGGGGCCAGGTCTGCTGGCTCTAGCCACTCACTACCTTTGTGCTTGTTCAGAACCTGGTCTCAGGCATTTTCCTCAAGGAACAGGGGATTTGAGGACTAGTGTCACCCAGTGCATAACTAATGATGTCACCCCACCCATGAACTTCCTCCAATACTAAACCATAGAGAATCCTGGTTGTTGTGTGGTTGTTGTTGTTAAGTTCTGTCAAATCAGTTCCGACCCTGTATAGGGCTTCCAAGGAGTGGTTGATGGGTTTGAACTGCTGACTGTGGTTAGCAGTCCAGTGCTTATCCTACAGCGCCACACCAGGACTCCCTTCGTAATGTTTATTGTCAGCTTTGATTATAGAATAATATGTGATAAATATAGTTGTAAATTGCTTACATGTCTTCTTTCTTGGGTTATATGAACACTAACAATAAAATCATTTTGTAAAAATCTTTTAACCTTATTAGTTACATTATTCATAACCGTGGAAACCTTTGAAATTTTTTCTTCTTCTATTCCTTTAATTACTGCTTCATTCTCAATAAAAGTTCTTGATAGAGGTTCACAAGTACTACTTAACACAATATGGGAGCTAAGGCAACAGGAAATTTGACAAAGGCAGTGGTTATACAAAGCAACAAAACATGTGCTTGTAGTGAATGCAGATGAATGAACAGTGTTGTTGTCGTTGTTAAGGTTGTTGTTAAGTGCCGTTGAGTCTATTCCAACCGATTTGTTGTTGTTGTGAAGCGCCGTTGAGTCGGTTCCGACCAATAGCGACCGTGTATAGGGTTTCCAAGGAGCAGCAGGTGAGCTTGAACTGCCAACCTTGAAGTTCAAATGGCTTTGCAGTCTGGCGCATTAACCCACAGCGCCACACCAGGATTCCCATTAGAAGGTTCAAAAAGTAAATTAGCATAGAATTTTAGCCTTGTTAGAATATTGATGAAGTCCTGGTGTGAACCACAAGGTCAGTGGTTCAAACTCACCAGCCGCTCCTTGGAAACCCTATACAGGGTCGCTATGAGCCAGAACTGACTTGATGGCACTTAACAACAACATAAGTATATTAATACATGCAAGCTGGGTTTATGAAAAATGTTTTTGTTGTTATAACTAACTACGGGGACACTTCTTTAAAACATAATAAATTTCTGCTGAAACACTACACAAAAATCTTTGTAGATGGTCATTTTGGTGTCACCTTCCCCCCCCCAACAGTGTCACCTGGTGTGGTCTGCACTCTCTAGTGATGTCACTCTTTGAGGTATTCCAGATCAGCTTCTAAAAGATTCCATTCACGACCACCGGGACATTGTGGGCACTGAGGATGTAACTGATTCTCCTCAGTGAATTATCCTCGAACCAATCAGTAGTTACTTAGCCTGTGTTTACTGGGCACCTCAGTCCCTGTCCTCACAGAGGCTCGATTAGGTCGTAAAGGAGATAAGAGCCACCAAGGACCGAGATAAGACAAGCCCTTGGGACCATGTTATGTTCAAGGGAGGAACATCTGTTCATACTGGAATGTTGGAGAAAGCTTCCAAGAGGAGGTGGGCCAGGAGAAATGAGGGATAGGATTTGGATAGAAATGGACCATGAAGAGGGTAAGCCTAAAGATGGGAATTCCTGTTATACTGTGCTGGCTCAGGTAAGGGCTGGCTGAATGAAAACAAGGGTCAGAGTGGGGCACAGTGAAGTCTCGGTTAACGGGAAGATTTGCTGACACCCAGTGAGGCAGGAAATCGGAGCACTGTGAGAGGTTTTTGAGAAGACTAAGAGGAAAGTCAGCCCTCCCTGGGAAACTCCAGAACTGGCTGGTTTCCTCCAGTTCCTCAAGATAGAGGAGACACCACCAGGGCGGGCCTGAGAAAGACCCTGAGGGTCTTGGGGGTTGCCAGGTGCATACTCTTCATAGCTCCTGGCACTGAGGCCAGGGCTCTAGCGCCTAGACGTAAAATTGTTGCAGAGAACCCTGGACAGGGGGACATTCCATATCACTGAGCTTTCCATCCAGCTGATGAACTAAGGGTCCAGCCATCATCCTCACGAGCTCAGTTCAAGGCCAGTGAAGAGAGGACTGGGGATTCCTGGAGGAGGGGGACAGAGTGTCTTGGGGAAAGGATCCCCTCTGGCCTAACCCTGTGGTCTATGTCTCCCTACAGTGGTGCCCTTCCAGGAGGTGTGGGGTCGCAGCTACTGCCGGGCCCTGGAAAGGCTGGTGGACGTCGTGTCTGAGTACCCTAACGAGGTGGAGCATATATTCAGCCCGTCCTGCGTCTCCCTGCTGCGCTGCACAGGCTGCTGTGGTGATGAAACCCTGCACTGTGTGCCCGTGGAGACAGTCAATGTCACCATGCAGGTAGGGAAGGACTCCAGATGCCTCCCATCACCCCATTGCCCACGTCCCTGCTAAGGTCACCAAGCCTTGAAGGGACCCAGAGAGAAAGAGACCAGACCTAGAACTTGACTCCTAATTGCCCTCATGAGCCCAGTACCAAGCCTGCCTTCTGAGCCATACACCATGCTAAGCCCTATCCAAGTTTAGCCCTATCCCAAAATCCAGGAGGTTTGAAAGTCCTTGGAAAAGAAATCTATTCACCTTAACGACCTTGTTTATACTGAGAAGTTCTTGGTGGTATAAACAGTTAAACACAGGGCTACTAACAAAAATGTTGGTGGTTCAAATCTATCCAGAAGTGCTTCAGAAGAAAGGTCTGATGATCTGCTTCTATTGAAAACCTTATAGAATGTAATTCTATTCTAGAATGCATGGGGCTATCACAAGCCAGAAGGTAATTGATGGCAACTGGGTTTTCTTTTAGTTCTTTTCTGTTTGCTACTTGGTGCCCTAGCAAGCAAGCTAGGTTCACACACACACACACACTCACAGAGAGAGAGAGAGAGAGAGAGAGAGAGAGAGAGAGAGGTTTTGGAATGCCAGGCACTGTACCAGGCGCTTGCCTCATTCAGTCCTTTGAGGCAGGTGCTATCCTCTTCTTACAGTGAAGGTTTAGAGATGTCCTTTCCCTTGCTCAGGACTGTCCCACAGGGGAGCGGGGGCGAGTGGGCTGTTGGAAACCCATGGGACAATCCCCAACCCAGGCATCCACCTTTCTCTCCCTGAAGCTCCTGAAAATCCGCTCTGGGGACCCACTGTCCTATGTGGAGCTGACATTCTCTCAGCACGTGCTCTGTGAGTGCAGGTAGGTCCTCACCGAGGGGAGCAGGGACAGGCCCCACACACACCTGGAAGTCTCAGGGAAGGTGGGCCTGAGGGGATCCTGGGTCCAAGCCGTGGCTGTCCATCCCTGCTGTGGGCGGCACCTCCTTCCCAGTAGAAAACTGGGAACCCACTCCAAGGCATAGCAACTGCCTTTCATTTTGTCCCTGACCCGAGCCGGTACTGCCTGAGTGGTGCTCCCAGCAGCTGGAGTGCAGCTGTCAAGACACCTCAGAGAAGAGGAACCTGGATCCCTTTGCAGGAGCTGGGAGTCTATCCTCCCTTCCCCACCTGCCATAGGCTCCAGGGAGAGGCACCAGGGAGCAAAGATACTGCAAGTGTGGACCCCATTCAGGACCAGACTGTGTGCCCATGGGAGTGGCAGAGTGGGCTGAGGAACAGAAAGCAGGACAAGGCCTGGAGGGAGGAAAGGGACACAAGAGATGAGGCAGTGTGGTTTCTTCAAGGTTGAGGACACCCACCCCCTCTTGCCCTGCAGCACCTCAGCCCAGGAACACTCTGAACCTTAGCTACTAGGAACAGCAATCCTGGCATTTCCAGCTAGCTTCAGAGAAGAGAGAAGTGGGCTGAGGTTAGAGAAACTGAGCTCTTTTCTGGGGGAGAAGAGAAGGGCTGACTAATTTGTGCCCAACCTCACACATTAGGGGGTGTTTTCTCATTTATTCAACAAGTATTTATTGAGCATCTACTGCTTGTCAAACATTGTCCTAGATGCTTGGGATAAAATGATGAACAAAATAGATAAGGTCTCTGCTCCCCTAACAACCCTAGGGGGTAGGTACTATTGTCACTCCCATTTTATAGATGAGGAAATTGAGGCTTAGTAGTGGCGCTGTGGGTTAATGCGTCAGACCGCAAAGCCGTTTGAACTGTAAGGTTGGCGGTTCAAGCTCACCAGCTGCTCCTTGGAAACCCTATACAGAGTCGCTATGGGTCGGAACCGACTCAATGGCACTTCACCACCACAACAAAAGGGTTATGTAATTTTCCACAGCTAGTAAGTGTGGCAGGAGGGATTGGAACCCCAGTCCTGCTGACCCCTAAGTTTGCCCTTTTCTCATGGCTGCTACCACATTCTCTAAGAGCCCCAGTACTATTTTAGGATTGGTGTAGTGATAAACACTGGACTGCTAACCACAAGGCCAATGGTTCAAACCCACCAGCCAATCCTTGGAAACACTATACAGGATCACTATGAGTCGAAACCGACTCAACAGCACTTGACAACAACAACAACAACAACAATGTCCCTTTGGGCCCTGAGCCCAGGCTCCAGGTCATCTTCATTGAATCAATGTTGGGGGCACAGCCTCCATCTCTCTCCTCCCACTCCTCCCAGTTAGGGTTTAGCCATGTAACAGTAGTTCAGTGATTAAGCCTCCGGACCAATGCTGGATGGTGACCTTTCACCTTCTTCTACATCACTGTTGCTCTCAGCCACTCTTGTTGGAGCAGGCAGAGGAAGAGACTGTGGCTCTGAGAGTGTCTCTGATTTGCCCAAGGTGGCAGAAGTACAGCGAAGATAGCCTTAAGAGGCCTCGGTTCCCTGCCCTGGCTCCCAGTGAAGCATCCAGCCTCGGGTAGCAGTCCGTGACCCTGAGACGGACTCTTACCTAGCTACACTATGCTCCCTCCACTCACTTCAGGGGATACTGAGGTCTGTCCCCTTCCAATGGGCCAGGCAGTGGGGACACCATTCTTCTCTCTTCTGGGTCAACAGCCACAGCACTGGGAGGTCAATTCGGGACATGGCTGGTGGCTGTGGGCTGTGCTCAACTCCCCTTCCCCTTCTCCACTCTCATTACACAGCCTTGGAGGGTGGGGAGGGGAGGGTGCATTGACAGGCAGCCTTACCTGGCAGCAAGGCAACCATTCCCAATTTATGGCCTGACCTGCCATTTACCACTCTTTAGGAAACACCCAGAATGCAATTGGAAGGCAGGGCTGGAGCAAGGGGAGGAAGCAAATAGAGACAGGCTTAGTGGGACAGCAGAAAACAGATTCAGAAGTACCCTGATTTAATGTCAACAATCCAAAGAGTGTGTAAGGGTATGGAAAGGGTCCCAAAAGGGAAGTAAGTCCCTCTCGCACTGGGGTCCTTAGAGATTAGAGTGGGAACTAAAGCCTAGAAGCCTCTGACCATAGATCCCTGTCTAGCTCCATGCTACCCCCTAGTGGCCCTAGAGTTAACTTCAAGTCCGGGACTTGGGATGTCTGAAGGGAGGTATGGGGGCAACAGGAAGCCCCCACTGACCACTTTCCTGCTTCTCCCCTGCCCCTCTCTCTGTTTTCCCAGGCCTCTGCGGGAGAAGATGAAGCCAGAAAGGTAAGTGGCCTGGCTGGGGCTGGGGCTATTCTTACCAGCCTCTGTCCTAGCATGGGCTTCCCCTCACCCCACCCCCACCGCTACCTTGTCCTGACGCTTTTGGCTTATTGCAGGAGGAGACCCAAGGGCAGGGGGAAGAGGAAGAGAGAGAAGCAGAGACCCACAGACTGCCATCTGTGAGTGTGCAGGGGGGTGGGGGTGGGGTGGGGCCCAGGGATGGCAAAGTGGCTGGGCCAGAGGGGAGCCCCAGCCAGCCTGCTAGCAGGGGGTAGAGATCCGGGAGGGGGAAAGGTCAGGCTCAGGGTCAGAGCAAGGAGCTGCATCTCCTAGAGGTTCTAGGGCTCAGGAAGCCTTGCGGACCCGTGGTTCTTGTCCGGGCTTAGCCTTGAACACATCTTTTCACTTTTCTGAGGCTAGTTTTTCTCTCTCTGTAGAATGAGGGAGCAAGGGATCTGCCAAGTATATGGTCTTTCCTCAAACACTTATGTAATACCTACTGTATGCCAGGTGCATCAATAAACAAAACACAGGATTCCTGTTCTTATGGTACTTATGTTCGAGGAGAAAATTCTAGCAACTGAAAAATTATCTAGGGAAGGTGCACCTTGCCACTGGACCCCAGGGGGCTTTGAGGTCTCCTTGCTTCTTCCTCTTACCCTCCCCATCTTGGTATCTCACCTGGTGGCAGCAGGCTGGAATCCCATGTGTGTGTGTCTGGGAGAGAAGAATTAGAGAAGGAAAAGTCTAAACCCAAATCTGTAAGAGTAGTTTTTTGCTTTTTAAAAAAAATATATTTCCTGTGTATAGTAAATAGTTCACATCTTTGGGTGGGAGCTGCTCCCCCCCCCCCCCCACACACACACAGACCGAGATTCCTCCACCCACACATACCTCTGTGGAAACAGGGACTCTTTGCCCTGGGCCTAAGTGGGGATTTGAGGAAGGAGATAGCACTGAAGTCAGACGTCCAGGCAGACCCAGATGCCAGTGTCCCTTGGCCTGTTTTCTAGGACAACATCTTTAACACATCTTATTTGGGGACATCCAAAAAGAATTTAAAAAAACCATATGCTCTCTTGCTCATTTTAAAGTTGGCCTTGATCCTTTTCATCATAATTATAAATAGGTACAAAGGATATAATTTCTGATCTTTTATAAACATTTCTGTTTTAATTTTAATAGAACTATTTACATAATTCTTCAGGTGTATCCTATGGAATCTAGATGCTAACCTAATTTAAGGTTCACCATTATCCAGTTTTTTAAAAACTGAGCAACAACCAAAAAGTGGCTGTTGTTGCTGTTGAGTGACGTCGAGGTGGTTCCAACTCATAATGACCCTGCATGGGGTTTCTGAGGCTGTAAATCTTTGCAGCAGTAGAAAACCTCATCTTTCTCCAGAGGATTGGCTGACCCTGTGTTTCATCGTTCAGTGCTCATCCTACAGGGCCACCATGCTCCCCACCCAATAAAGTACATGAAACCAAATCTCCTGCCATTCACATTGTTGTTAGGTGTCATCATGTCAGTTCCAATTCATAATAACCCTCTGCACAACAGAACAAAACACTGCCCGGTCCTTGGCCAACTTCACAATGGTTGCTACACCCGAGCCCATTGCTTCCATCACTGTGCCAATCCATCTCATTGTGGGGTCTTCCTCTTTTTTCTGACCCTCCACTTTACCAAACATGGTATCTTTCTCCAAGGACTGATCCCTCCTGATAACATGTCCGAAGTATATAGGGTTTCCAAAACTGTAAGTCTTTATGGGAACAAACAGTCTCATCTGTCTCCTGAGGAGCAGCTGATGGGTTTGAACCGCTGGCCTTGCAGTTAACAGCCCATTGTCTAACCCACAGCTCCTCTCTTCTTTAATAGTTGACATTGCATATTTAGGAGTTCTGGTGTGGCACTGTAGGATAAAGCACAGGTCCGCAAGATCGGGTTGAACCACAAGGTTGGCCGTTTAAAGCAACCAGCCGCTTTTTGGAAACCATATACAGGGTTGCTATGAATTCTAACTGACCGTACAGCACTTAACAACACACATTGCGTATTTACATTACTTCTTTTTGTCTTGAGCTTGTATATTTCCACTTCACTTCCCCCACAGAATTTAAGCCTAATTTAATGTTTCTTATGCTAAAGATCTTTTATCATATTCTTCTGCCACAAAGAAGGCATGTAAATTTGAATTATTGTAGATTTCCTGTGAGCATAAAGCTCTAAGGTAAAATTTCTTTTTAATGAGTTATCAAAATAGTTAGTAGTATCAACTGATCAAAACAGCACAAATGCACATTTTAATAAATGTGAAACATACGAGTGAATCTTATTGGGAAACCAGTGAGAAGGATGTGGACACTTCTTTCTTTTCAGTTAGTCAATGTGTCCATTAAGGAACATGAATTCAACATTAATTCCATTTCTGTTTACCATTTTTATAGATGGAAAGCTTGAGGAAGCTTGTTCACGTAAACATGTCAGTGGGACTATAAAGGGGTCTTGCTTTACCAGCGTCACTCAGTTACTTGGTTTCCTTCTAAATTACTTGCCAAAGAACTCATAGTGATCTGCCAGCAAAAATTATTTTTAAGGATCTATCAATTTTGTTGAAAACAAAGACTTGGAAACCAACTCATGATTGGTTACCCAGTCATTAGCCTTATTTCTTTTCTTTTTCAACATCTATACCAACCAATAGCTCAAATTGTTCTTATGTGTAGTGTTTCTGAATATTTTTACCTTAGGGCAAAGCACTTAAGGACTTGAAATGGGCAAGAAGCCATTCTTTCTTTCTAAAAGAAGAAGGGCAGTGGGAAGGATGACCACAGGCACTAACTCACCCAGCCGATTTTACGACAGAGTAGGTATGGCGGCAGCAAATGAATTTCTTTAAAACTAGCAGAACCCATGTGAAGTGTGATTTGGACAATCTTCATGTATCTCCCTGCTTGAAGGTGGCTGTGCTAAAGTAACATTAGGCATCATAGCATGAAGTCAGGTTGGGTTCAAATCCTCACTCTGCCGCTGACTAGCTGTGTGACCTGGGGCAAGTTTATTAACCTCTCTGAGCCTCAGTCTCCTCATCTGTGAGAGAAGGGCAATAATAGTGTCTTCCTCATGGGTGTTGTTAAAGATAAAAGAGACTGCGCTTAGCACAGGGCCGGGCCCCTGGGTAAGTGCTTGGTGAAGGGTAGCTCTTAGCTTTTAGTTGCCTTGGTACAAGCAGGGATTCAGGGCGGCTGCATTCTCCCCACGCTCCCTGTCCACGCTTCTCCTCTGGGTCTGTCCCCCACCCTTAGGAGGGGACCCCAGCCTCGGCCAGCTGCTGACCCCTCGTCTGTGTTTGGTCCCTGGTAGGTGCGGCGATGCTGTACCCCGGAGGTAACCAGCCCCTTGGAGGAGAGAGACCCCACTCCCGGCTCGTGTATTTATTACCGTCACACTCAGTTACCTCCCTACTGGCACCTGCACCCTATTTATTAGCCAATTGTATCCCTGCTGAATGACTCACTCCTCCAAGATGAGGGACCAGGAAGACAGGACCCTCAGGAATTCAATGCCTTACACAGAACGTGAGAGAAAGAAAGAAGGTGACCACAGACCAGGGGATGCTTCCACTTGAGAAGAAGCAGGACACGTGGTCTTGTGAGGAGGCAGCCAGGCCTCAGAGTCCCTGGGGCTCGCCCACCTTCTGTTTGGGGCCTTGGGCTGTGCATGGACAGCAGCCCTCGCTATGGGCGCTCCTGGCCTGGTGAGGGTAAAGGAGGCTTTTCTGGGTTGTTGTGGCTCTGGCTGGATGGAAGCTGGGAAGGCTGGAGGTATCTGCTGCTTCCTCTTCTTCCTGGCAGCAGATGGTCACCGCAGAGATAGAAACGTTCAGCCTGGGGCCACGCTGCTCCTTTTCCCTTACAGTCTCTTCTCACATTTGTCACTGCCTGTGCTGGGACATTGTTCTTTCTGACCAAGACACTGCTGAGCTGCCCCTCACAGGGACACAGGCAAAGGGTGAGCTCTGGGCTGGACAAGGAGCCGCCCCATCAACGGGGATGGGTTTCCACTGCGGGGAGAGGGCCCTGACATATGGCAAGGGGAACAGGTTCCCTGAGGGTCCTGGGCCCCTCCCCCCACGACACAAGCTGCCCCTGGAGGGCTGTCTGACTGCCAAGCCAGATTCTCTTGAATAAAGTATTCTAGTCCTGAAACAGCTTACCCAGGGGAGTGTATCTGCTGGGAACAGTGGGCAGTTGCAGAAAATGAAAGACAGATAGAGGAAATGGAAACAAGGTGAGTTGTCTGACCTTCAGTTTCCTCATTTGAAAAACATGGCCAAAAGTAGTACCTGCCTCATCAGGCTGTGAGAAAACACATCACATGACTATACATTAGCTTCCTCCTCCCTTCCTCCCTTTGACATCTGAGGAAACTGAGGCCCCAAAAGTGACATGACTTTCCTGAGATCTGAGAGACTCAAAAGATCCCTGAGCTGGGAGGCAGAGGCCTGGGCTTTGTCCCTAACTCACCCAGTGACACTGGGTTTCCCTCTGCCTCTGTTTTTCATCCCGAAAATGTGGGTGGGCTTAGCTAGATACCTCTTGCTGAATGAAGTTGGAGTGGGGCCCAGGTTCAAGTCTCAGTGGTCCAAGCCTGCCTTCAGGGTAACTTTACCAGATGTTTTAGGGAAAACCCCAGAGTCCACCCTTCCTTTAACCCTAACAGGGTACTCACAAGAGGTAGTCTTGTCTCCAAAGTTGGGGAGAGACCTGGCCCCAATCTCCGGACACACCATCAGATTCAGACACACAGTCCTTCGCCTCCAAAGCCAGCCTGGTACCCAGCCCTTGAGACCATGACCAGCTGGAACTCCCAGGCCTCTTAGAGGGGATCTCCTGACCTGGGCCACAAGGCACTGAGTTACCATCCCCTCAGCATGTTCAGGTTTCCAGGGCCAAAGGTTGCTCATTTGATCTTCCCTTTTACTCCCCATCTTCCTCTGCCTTCCTCCTTAAAGTCTTAGCGTGGAACAGCAAGAAGAAATACTCTATTAATTTTTTTTTTATTCTAAAACCATTCTGGTAGCGTAGTGGTTACGAATCGGGCTGTGAACCGCAAGGTCAGCAGTTCGAAACTACCAGTGGTTCCACGGGAGAAAGATGAGGCGTTCTGCTCCCGTAAAGATTTACAGCCTCGGAAACCCTGTGCAGGGTCACTATGAGTCGGAACCGACTCCACGGCACTTAACAACAACAAAACCATTTAGTACCAGACTGCCCCCAAAGTGTGTGTACTTGTCTTTTGATGTTGTGGGGAGAGAGTTCCCCACCCTCTCCTCTGTCCTGTTTCCTCTTTGAGTTGTACAGAGAAACCTGTAGGGACCCAGGAGGCCAGAGACCAGACTTGAGCTTTGGAGGGAAGCCATGGAGGGTCCAGTGGGATGGGGTGGGGTGGCCCTGCTGAGGCAGCTGCTCTTGGTGACCTGTTTATCCAGGGCGGGAGTCTTCTGGAGGACACTCTGGTCAGAATGTGCTTCTGGCTGGTGATCACAGCGGAGGTGTGGGGCAAACCCTGGGGACACTCACTTTGCAGAAGAAATATACTTCTGCTTCTCTGCACTCTGGCTACAGCTGTTGTGAGCTGAGAGCTGTGGCCTTTGGCCGACTGAAAGCTGAGAAGAGCATTTCCACCCCTTGGTCAGGCCTCTGGCTCAGCCTCAGGGACCCTAGTCCAGCCCCAATAGTATCTCCAAGACTTTCAGCTCCACAGGGTTACCCAGATGGAGGTCAGTCTCCCCACCCAGGCCAGTGACCCCTGCAGACAGCTTAGACAAAGCAGGTAGTTCCTGGTGGCCAGAAGCAAAAGTCCACACCCATGGCTAGGGACCTCCCAGCAGGAATGAGTAGGAAAGGAATCCACAACCCTTTCGGATAATTTAGACTCCCAAAGACCCTTTTCTTTTGTTCATCACTTATTTGTGTTCGAGGCACTGTTCTGGTCACTGAGGTCCCAGTGGTGAATCAAGCATACAAGGACCTTACTTTCATGTAACTTACATTCAAGTGGAAGAAACAGACCTTAATCATGTATTACTAGATGGCTTTTTCCTGTTAAGTTTGTGACAGAACCCAAAGCTAAGGAGAAAGGGGTCTTGAGTAGCCAACATTCTAAAAAATAATAAACATATTTGTCTACAGGATTTATTAAGAGGTAGTTGTAGCAATTTTTCTGTCCCCAAACATCATACCAGTGACCCTTTCCCAAGTCCACACAAGCAGAAGACCAGGAAACAGAGAGAGAAGGGGATGGGTCATAGGAATCCTGGGGTTTGGTTCCTTTTCTTCTCTCTCCCTGACATTAGATTTGTTGTTCAGATTAGCCCATGGGGAGTTGGGGGTGGAAAATTGGAGAGTGACTGAGAGAAAGAGAAGACCCCTGGGGACATCCAGCAGGAGTTCCCCATGGGTCCCGTGCACATGGCAGAATGTGAATCACATAAGCTGCCTTATTTAACCTCTATCAAGCTGCCTTATTTAACCTCTAGCCTGCAAGTAAGGAGAACTCACAGGACATAGGTAGTGGAGTGTAGGCTGAGCAAGAGCTAAGTAGGGGGTATAGAGCTGGAGATGAGTGTCCACATCAGGGAAGTGTGCTGTGGTGGCCCTGAGCCATGCTCACAAGAGAGTTGGCATCCAAGTGCCTGTCATGCCCGTACATTCATCCCCAGAGAAGACGTGGCCACAGCTGAGAACTTGGCCCCAATCTTTCCTTTCAGACCCTGTGTTTAAAAAAAAAGTACAAGACCATGCCCCTTCCCACTTCCTTGCCCAAATCCAGGCCATACCTCGGGGCAGGAAGGGAATTTGTGTTCAATTGGACGAACCGACCTAGATGAAATGAAAATGTTGGGAACATTGGATGATCTGCCTGAGATATTGTTGGGGGGCAAGGAGAACTTACCTAGTTCATCTGGAAGCAGTGATAGCAGAAAAAATGATTTGCTTGCATCCCAGTTTGCTCAATAAGCAAGTTACATAAATAAGTACCTAAATAAATAAGGAAGAGTTGATGATGGTTTGGACATATCAAAGATTACATTGAAATCTTTGACACTCCTTTTGAGAGTGAGGTTTATTTACTCTCCTTTTGGATCTGAGCTGATGTTATTGTTGTTGTTAGGTGCCATTGAGTCAGTACTGATTCATAGCGACACTATGGACAACAGAATGAAACACTGCCCTGTGCCAGCCTCACAATCTTTGATACACTTGAGCCCATTGCTGCTGCCACTGTGCCAATCCATCTCGTTGGGATTTTACTCTTTTTCTCCAACTCTCCACTTTAACAAGCATGATGTCCTTCTCCAGGGACTGATCCCTCCAGATGAGAGGTGAAGTCTGACCATTCTGGCTTCTAGGGAACATTCGGTTGTACTTCTTCCAACACAGATTTGTTTGTTCTTTTCATGGTCCATGTTACTTCTCATATTCTCCTCCAACACCGTAACTCAAATGCATCAATTCTTCTATGGTCTAAAGCTGACACGGTCTTCTTTAATCATAGTGTATATAAGAAAGGATGATATAATAGTCCCAAGCTTAACTTTAAAGAGGATTGGCAGTTTCTTCCTTGGTCTCTTGAATCCCTGAGATGCCATGTAATAAGTCCAACTACTCTTAAGGTCACCATATTTGAAGGAAGCCCAGCCTAGTCATATAGAGAGATGAAACAAGAGAGAGAGATGCTCAGCTCAGGTTGCAGACATGATGCAGCAAGAGACAAGCTATGCCCTGTGTGATCTCCTGACCCACAGAATCATGAAATATATAATAAGAATAAACTGTTTTGGAGCAGTTCGTTATACAGCAATAGGCAGCCAGAATAGAAAATATGAAAAGGAAATGAAATAGATACTCTATACCATGAGGTCACAAAAAGCCTCTCTATGATAATGACATTTATGGTGAAGTTTAAAAGGCAAGGAATAGGTCATGTGATGATCAAGTGTAAGAATATTCCAAACAGAAGACATAATTGATGCAAAGGTCCGAAAGGAATCCCTCTATGGCTAGAGCATTATGGGTAGGGAGAAAGGGACGGAAGGTGTGATGTTAGAGGTGGCAAAGGGCCAGATCATGAAGGACTTTGCAGCCGGGGAAAAAAGTTTGGATTTTGTTATGATATGAGGAAAAACATTCAAGTTGAGGAGTGAAGAGACCTCAGTTACATTTTTGACTGGAGGTATGAATACCACTTAGAAAGTGGTGGTGGTGGTTATATGCCATGGAGTCGGTTCTGTATAAGGTTTCTGAGGCTATAAATCTTTACAGGAGCAGAATGCCTCACCTTTCTCCTGTGCAACAGCTGGCAGATTCATACTGCTGACCTTGTGGTCAGCAGCCCAACTCATAACCCACTGCACTACCAAGGCTCCTTACCATTTAGAAGACTGGACAAAAAAAGGAAGACCCCAATGAGACACACTGAGACAGTAACTGCAACAGTGGTCTCAAACATAAGAACAATTGTGAGGAAGGTTCAGCATCAGGCAGTGTTTGGTTCTATTGTACATGGGGTCACTATAAGTCAGAACCAACTCAATAGCACCTAACAACAACAACAACAGGAGACTGGTAAATCCAGTCAAGCAATTATGGTGGCTTGATCTAGGGAGAAAGAAGTAAATAATTT